CCCCCCGCTTTTTCCATGGCTTTGGTGGTTACAAAGTATCAGTTAGACGTAAGTTAAAGTTCTTTGGGCTTTTCAAACCGTTGGTTGGGTAGTACAAATAGAAGGATCTTCGATAAAGATGTGTGTTGTACCTCTGGGCTCTGAGCTCCAAGCTGTTGCCAACTTCTTTCACCACTTAGCGTCAATTGGGTCCAGACGACATCTCTCTTCATCTAATGCAGCCAGTTTTTCCACAATAAAAAAAGGCAGATGCATGCTCTTATGTACTTTCACTTTTGCGGCTCGTTGCTTGCGTGTTCTGCTTTGGAGCCATGTCTCGCATCACCTTGGCATACCGTGGCCGTACCTATCGCCCATCCCTGGCACATTGTCATGCACGTGTTTTTCATGATGAGGTCGAATTCCTGAAGACACATCCTGGATGGCTTGGGCAGAGCTGGACACACGGGCAATTTGCAGAAATTGTCTCTGCGCTTGAGTGCGTCTTTGGACAAGCTGCTGCCCCATCTTTCGCTGCTCGGATTTGAATACGCAGAAGATATCGCGGCAGTGACCTATCCCTTACGGTTCCAGAGCCTTTCTTCTTTCGAGCTACTGTTGCGATTGAAAGTCTCTTGACCTCTTCAGAAGTAAGCCTTGAAGACATGCGGGTCCAGTGGAAACGTTTGGTCGTGGTGGGATCTGCACATCTCGGGGCAGTCTTTGCCTGGGGCACCAACCATTCGCTTCCTGCAGCCATCCCTCGCCCTATAGCGACGTTTGGGCAAGTGTGGGAAACAATTTGTTCTTCTTCCTGCCTACAACATATGCACTACACAAAAGCTGTTTTCACTCGCATTTGGGCAGCATGTGTTACCCATTTCTCTGATGCCGCTGGTCGCACTTCCTCCACTCTGGTTTCCCGCTGCTTCGGCCGCAATTGGACCATGCAGGTGCTTCTTGCAGATGTTATCCCTGCGCAGTTGGCAATTGAGCAATTGCTTCTAGATATGCCGGACAGCCTTGAAGCCATGAACACTGCATGGCATGCATTACAAGATCGGTTTCCCCTGCCCACCATGCGAGACATTCCTCCAGATGTCCGTTTTGGGGCAATGACTTTTACATATGATATGGCTCCGGCCGCATTCGCTCCTCGGCACTATTCGTCTGACCCTGTGGCTGACATACCCTGTTTTGCGTCGTCTTCCCCGCTGGCCAGGCATTTCTGCCAGCTTTGCGGCTTCCATACTCCAGCCGAAAGTGTGTGGGAGAAACACCTGGAGGACCATGGCGGGCCAAGCTCCTACCGAGCCCAAGTGCTGGCCACCGAAGCGCAGAAATGGCCCGCTGCAGTGGATCCCACTGTGATACGTCACTGCGCATCTCAGTATGCGCAGACCTTCTGGGAGCGCATGTCCACCGCTACAACTTTTTGTGGCTGTTGTGCTATGCCCAGTACATTCTCTGCAGTTCAACAACATGACCTGCGCTCGGCAGATTTCTCCCTGAACGAGCTCCACGAACTGTTTTCTGCACAGAGTTATTTGACTGCTCACAGTGCACTGTATCCAGAGTTTCCTCCTGCTTCTTTCGTTGGCTTACCGTTTGACGTGCTTCTGCAAGCTGGGGTCCCCTGTCCTTTGCCTTTAGCATCTGGCGCTGAATGAATGGACAGTGGCTGCTGACAATCCTGAAGTACCTCTTCACATTTCTTTGTGTTCAGATTGCTGTGGTGCCCTCAGAGGCTCATGCCAGCACGAGCTTTGGCGAATGGAAACCTTTGTCGTTCTTTTCCGTCAGAGTTGCACGGCCTGTCTTTTGCTGAGCGCATCTTTATTGCTCGCGGCTTCACACTACGGCGGCTGCATACTTTGCCTGGTCGTGCAGCTCCACAAGATCGCCAAAAGGCTATGTCTGGCAATGTTGTTTCTTTTCCGCAAGAGGCTGCAAGCCTTCTGCGCCATTTGCCGAGACATCCACAAGAAGCATCAGAACTGCTCACGGTTTTCTTTTCGCCCGATCAGGCTCCCGATCCTCGTGCCTATCCTGCGTATGTGGTTCGACGTGATCGTGTTCAATTGGCCTTGGAATGGTTGCAACGTCGCAATCCATTCTATGCCGATATGTGCATCGACTTTGAGATTTTAGCCTTATTGCCTCAGGATGGCATTCCATCGGATTCCATCGGAATTTTTCCTCCCCAGTGCTGACGCTAGCATTCTGCAAGTTGAAGTTGGACCTGCTGATGCCCAAGTCATGGCTGCTGACACCTGTGAGCCGACTCCGCACTCAGATGATGCATCCTCGCATCCTGACCTTCCCTTAGCAGCCGCTGTCTTAGATACAGAAGGCGAGGGGCTAGCTCCAATGGAAATGTGGTCGCACGCTCTGCCACGGCGAGCTGCTTCTCGCCCTGTTGAGGCCCCAACTGTGCCTGCAGAATTTGACGCGATAGTTCCACATGGACCAGATCCTTTGTCCTCTTTTGATCTTGGCTACTGGCCTCTTTGTTTCCCACATTTGTTTCCATATGGAGACGGTGTTGCAGGGGGTGCCAGACGAACCCGATGCTTTGACAAGACGTGGGCACGCCATTTGCTTCTCCGCATGGATCGCGCACCAAAAGATTTCCATTGGAGTCTTGATATCGATTTCATTGCAGTTCTTTTCGGTGTCCTTCATCGAAAAGACTTCCTGCAAGCAGTGCAGGCCAAAATACGCACTCCAGGTTTCCTCCGAGTTGCTGCTGATTTTGAACATTTGCTGCACACTGACTTCTCTGAGATCCTTCGTCTCCTTGGCGACTCGGGTGGCCTCCCTGAGGCTTTGCGCAACTCCTGCTGCAAAGATAGTCCGTCTAAACAGTAAAAGGCGTCTGATGTTGACATGCATGCCTGCTCTTGTACTTTGCTTCCTGCCCTTTTTGTTCCACTCAGGCAATCCTCTGGTGCCGGACTCTCTGAAGCGAGTGCTTCGGTGCATGGAAATCGTTTCTGGAGTGGTACCTTGTACAGATGCATCACGCCGCCGGATGCGGCATCAGCTCCGCGCCCTACAAGTTTGGCAAGGACTACCCAGCATCTTCTTTACCCTCAATCCAGCTGATACTAGGCATCCGTTCACTCTCTACTACAGTTCTTGTCCTGAGCAGCCATGGCAGCCTTGTTCTACAGAGCACGACCTCACGGAAGCTTTAGCACAAGTGAATTTGTTGGAGAGGGTGGCTGCTGATCCCGTTGCAGTTGCACGCGCCTTCCACGAGCGCGTGCAACTTTTCCTCCAAGAGCTTCTGGGGTGTATCACACCTGGTGGTGCTGCTTGGGGAGATGGTGTCGCTTCTGGCATGGGTTCTGGGCTTTTGGGCCCTGTTGCAGCATACTATGGGGTTACAGAGCCGCAGCTGCGGGGAAGTTTGCATTTACACATGCTCATTCATTTATATGCCTTTAGTACACCAGCTGCATTTCTAGCTCGGCTGCAAAGCATCTGGGGCACTTTGGCAGACCGGTTGCTGCAATGGACGTCAAGCCTGCTGGCTACTTCTTTAGAGAGTATTCCACGCGCATGGAATCTGCCATGTGACAGCCAAGCTTTGTTCACTGCCCTGCAACCGCTCCCATATTCTACACGGCAGCGCGCTCTTCTGAGCGCCCACGAGGCACCAATGTAAGACTTTGACTTGGCGTCACAGACTTGGTTTCTAGCAAGTACTACTGAACATTTCTGTCCCCAGCCTCCATGGTTTGAACCTCCTGCAGATTCTTCAGGACCTGCTTTGCTCTTTGCTCCTTGGCCTCGGCAATATTTGATGCAGGCTGGTGATGCTGCTGATTGGAGCCGGCATTTGCTTTTTAACTTGCGACACTCCGCGCTTCACTGCTGCTTACATGAGTGCCGGCCCCGAACTTGCCACAAGGGCGCCATTGGCCGCTTAGGTTTCTGTCGTATGGGGTTCTGGCATTGGTGCAATGTCAACCCTGCATTGCAGCCACCTGTCTGGCAAAGATGCCACGGTCTTCCCCTTCAAGATCGACCGACTGTTGGCTCGGTACCGCCGTTGGCGGGCGTTTTGCTGACTGAAAGGCATCATCTTTTTCATACACGATTCAACGCTGGGGTCTTGGCAGCGGTCAAATGCAATCATGACCTCAGTGTCCTTGTCCGTGCACCGGAGGCTGCCGCTGCCCTGGACGCAGAACATTTCGCTACCCAATTGGCCTCTTCCACGCAATTGGCTACGTTTTACATAACGGGCTACATGAGCAAGGTGCAGCCTCACCTGACGAATTTGTGGCATCTCTTGGAGCAAGGTCAGCGTCGTTTGGAACACGAACTCCAGCAGCAAGCCTCTGTGGGTGCAGTACTGGTGGGTCCCTCGCTCATGGGCAAGACTTTGAATCGCATGTTATCAAGCTGCCAACGACGAGCACACAAATCCCTACCTGAAATGTGCCATTATTTACTTGGCTACCCAGAAGCGTACAGCAGTCATGCATTTCGTCCTCTTTTTGTCGGTAATTTGCTCTGCCGTGCTGCTAGCTTGCTGCCCTTGGCCCACACGGATCTTCCTGAGCCTGAGTCTGTGGCGTGGGTGCCACGGGGGCCTGGTGCGAATGACCACACTGAGGGTGCTTCATCGACCGCAGCCCAACCCTCACGTCTGAATCTCATGACGCAAGACTTGGATTATATGCACCGTGGTCCTGCACTGCAACTATGGCCTCTGTACTTTTATGTTGCGGCCGTCTCGCGCTCCACTGGACAACGTTGCTCTGCTGGTGCCTATTTGGAGCCCTTTGCCCCAGACCACCCAAATGCTGCGTATGCCGTGCAGAAGATCGCTCTTACAGATCCTTGGTTGGTGCCGCAAGTTGTCGGCCGTGCAGTGCCTTCTGCAGAGAAAGATCCCGAACTTCGAGCAGTCCTGCTGCTATTGTTGTTCAAACCTTGGTCCCATTCAACTCTGCAAGATCTCCTTCTGCCGTGCACTGTCAATCAGGAAATATTGCCGACGTGGCTTGCTGCGTTCGATGATTTCATGGCCCATACTGCGGCTTTACGGTCCTCACCGGCTACACGCCCAGCACCTTTTACGCCGGAATATTGGGCGCACCGTGCTTTGGTCGCACTTCTCTGTTTGCATAGTACTTTCCCATAAGCTGTTATGTCTCTATCCGCGCGCGGCCCCTGTGCTCTCTGCAGGAGTTTGGGACACTATAGCCAACTTCGATGCCTTAAACGGCAGCCTCATTGACGATAATCTCCGGGCAGTACGACATCATCCTGGCGTTCTTGCTGGTGATGCGGCCGCCTCCGAATTTGTTCCTCCTGTGCCTGGGCCTCACACTTTCGAGGACGATGTCGCCTCCAATCCCTCTGACATGCCCATGGATGAAGATTTTTATGAAGCTGACTTGCCGCTGCACACCGCTTCTGCTGCCTGCATGCACCACTTTGATGAGACGTGGTCTGGTGTACGCTTGTACGCAGAACGCTGCTGCAGTGCACCGAACTTGCGCGCCGCGGAGTATGCTTCAGAATTACACGCTCTACAACAGCGTGTAACAGCACCCTCCCGGGAATTCCGTCATTCTCCTCAATTGCTGCACTCTGAAAGTCTTGCAGCTCGCTTAGAGCAATTGCGCAGTGATGTCCGGCAGTGGCGACAGGCTGCCCAAACAGAAATCGCGCCCACAGTTGGTTCGGCTGCACACGCTCCCAGTCGCTCTTTTGCTGCGCTCCCTGTTCTCCACACAATCCAGGCTTGGCTTGCAGCTGGGCGCTGCAACGCCCCGGATGGCTCCTTGAATGCGAAGCAAGCTCTTTTTCTGGTCGTGTATGGCTTGCATCTACAAGCGCCTTGGCTGCATGGAAGCCTAAAAAAAGCGGGGGGTAAAATTACCCCCTGCTTTTGCTGCCCCCCTACAGTACCCTCTTACATTCTCTTACCAGATATTTTTCTCTGGGGGGCTGTTTCTTCTAGGTTTGTTCTTTTCTGTATTCCTTCTGCTTTCTTTTTTCTTGCTGCGCCAGGAACGTGTCTCGGCTGCCAGCGCTTCCACCCATGCCCCACGGGCAGACTTTATCTTACTTGGTGGTCCTGGGACCGGTAAGACCCACATGCTGAAAGAAGTTTTGAAGCTTCAAAATCTTTTCTTCCCACATTCGACGCAACAGTGCTCCTACATGAACAGCGCTGCTCGTCTCATTGGCGGGCGCACCTTACATACAGCATTGGATTTGCCACGGAAAAACCACAAACTAGGTCAACAAAATCTGGTCAGCAAAAAAGAGCAACTCTTGTCCCAGTGGCGTGACATCTTGTTGCTGTGCATCGATGAAATCAGTATGTTGCCTGCCGACTTGTTCTCTGCCTGTGAGCTACGTGCACAACAAGCCAAAAACAATACTGATGCTTTGTGGGGCAACATGTCTTTACTTCTCACCGGCGACTTTTTGCAGCTGCCTCCAGTGGCTGCGCAAACCTTAGCTGGCAGCCCTGATGCAATTCCGAGCAGCGCCAGTTCGGCGCCTTCGACAGCCCAGCCAGACCAACGCCGGCTGAACGCAGCGCAAGGGCGGCGCCTTTGGCGCGATATCTCTAGATGCGTCCTTTTGAGCGTTTCGCACCGCTCACATGGTCCTCTGCAACATTTTTTGCAGTTAATGCGCACTGGCACCATACCCTCTGCCGCATGGGACGTTCTACTGCGCCGTGTATTGCAGCCGCATGATACTCGTCTCCGGGAGCCCAAGTACTGGTCCAATGCTGCTTGTGTGGGTGTCTTGCGGCATAGCATTCGTGCGCTTGCTTGCCTCCACCGAGCCCATCAATTGGCATTCCTTGCTGGACAACGTCTTCTGCTCTGCATCTGTATTGATTCCTGCCGTCGTGGGGCTGACGGCTCTTTGTCGCACCCAGGACTTCTTCGCTATCTTTGCAGCGTCGACAACTTGACTGAAACACAGAACCTGCCTGGTATCCTCTTTCTCTGGCATGGCTGCGCATTGACTTTAGAGGAGAAGGTGGCTGATCGGTATGGTTTGGTACGCGGCTGCCAAGGCGAGCTCCAACATCTTGTTCTCCATCCAGATGAACCGACATTCGACCTGTCCCCGGACTTGGAGCCGCACATCTTGACATACATGCCTTGCAGCCTTACCTTGCAAGTGCCACAGGCTACTTTTGTACAAAGTGCTTTGCTTGAGTGTGGCCAGTGCGCCTTGTTCCCAATTATTCGAGACTGGCAGCACTCCACTAAAGCAGATGGCTTGCCCTTCTTGGATCAAACTACGCGTGATATGCTGCTGGGATCAACACTATCTATCACGCGGAGGCAGTTCCCATGCACCAACCCATTGGCCTGCACCGCGTACAATCTTCAGGGGCAGACTGTTGCAGCTATGCTGGCCGATTTGAGCCGCCCACCTGGTATGCGGCGCGCCCACACCTCAGTTGTTGCTGACATCTCATTGT